GAGTAACTTCACGTTTCCCCCTCAGCAGGTAAACATGTACTGCACTGTACTGTACATTACAGCAGAGTTTCCCCCAACCTTTTTGGGTCCGCGGACCAGCAAATTTTCATACAATTTCTCCAGACTTGGAAACATTTTGCTTGATGGAGTTTATGGCAGATGTGTACAATTTTCTGCTTTTTGCAAAAATTAAGTTTTATATTAATTATGTATTATCTGTCACCAATTTATATTGAGGGGACAGATGTCGCCTCAATATAATTTGGTATAAAGTAGGACCAGAAAGAGTAAATGCGTAAATGAAAAGCAGTAATGAGCCTGGGACAGGAGCCGGAATTCCTTCTTGGAATTTCTGGGTTAAGAAGTATGGATGTATTTCACAGGAATATGATCAACACTACTTAGCAAACTCTTGCTTCAACTGAGTAACTGATAATGGTTCTGAGGATATTAGGTTCTGCAATTTACCAGGTTAACTATTGATATTTAACCTTCAAAAGTCTTTATAAAGACTTCATAGGGCTTGTCAATTGGTTTTAAGTGGTATAGGTGAAACTCTAGAAGATATCAAGCCATCAAGATATCAAACATTTTGCTTGATGGAGTTTATGGCAGATGTGTACAATTTTCTGCTTTTTGCAAAAATTAAGTTTTATATTAATTATGTATTATCTGTCACCAATTTATATTGGGGACAGATGTTGCCTCAATATAATTTGGTATGAAGTAGGATTGGAAAGAGTAAATGCGTTAATGAAAAGCAGTAATGAGCCTGGGACAGGAGCCGGAATTCCTTCTTTGAATTCCTGGGTTAAGAAGTAAGGATGTATTTCACAGGAATATGATCAAAAACTACTTAGCAAACTCTTGCTTCAACTGAGTAACTGATAATGATTCTGAGGATATTATGTTCTGCAAATTACCAGCTTAACTATTGATATTTAACCTTCACAAGTCTTTATAAACTCTTCATAAGGCTTGTCAATTGGTTTTAAGTGGTATAGATGAAACTCTAGAAGATATCAAGCCAACTACAGTATATCAATAACATCTTTGCTTGTCTAACAGCTCCTATGAAGCAGCTGTAGCTTAATGTCATCAAAAACTTATGTCACCAAAGGTGGGCCTGAAGAAAGGTTTCTTGGAATGAAAAATCAAAATAATTTATTTTAGCTGGTGAAAATGCGTTTGAAATGTTCTTATAGGAGAAAAGCCAACTTTTGTTTTTCATCAAATGATTTAAACTCCATATTGTCTTTCCAAAGTTTTAGATAATGATAGCAGAGTTGATTGCTAATTTCAGGAAATGTACTATTATGAAACTTTCCTGCAGACTGGCAAAAAAACTCCTGCAAACCACGGGTTGGGGAACACTGCATTACATTATTGTAATGTAAAATATTGTACTTCAATTCTTGAACTTCTTGGTGAGAAATACTTTAAATTACTTTATAAATGCTGTAATGTAAACTTTA